TGGGCAGGGCTGACGGCGGGGCCGCGCCGGGACCCCACAGCCGCGCTGCGCAGTCTCTGTCTCTCGCCCCGCAGGCGAGCACCTGTCCGCGGGGCTGAACGCCCAAACCACCCACGGAAGCGCGTCAGCGGCCACGGGCGGACACGGCTCTGGGCGGTGGCGGCGAGTTGGGGCGCACAGTGAGGGGCTGCCGGGCTCCAGCCACTGCCAGCTGGGGGACCGCTGGGTCAGGACATGGGAGCACCGTCTTCTGGGGCCTGTCACACACATGTCCCTCCCCACTCCCTCCCAGCCCAAGGGGCCACGGCGTCCATCACTGGCCACCGGGCCCGCAGGCATTTCGGGGCCCGACTGCCCCTCCGCTGTCCCGACGTGAGGCCTCCGCAGCCCATAAGCCCCGTCCACAGCGGTGCCTGCAGCCTCTCCTCTGGGGCGGGCAGTGGGCTGTGTCCACCCCCAGCTGCCGAAAGTGGCCGAGCACGGGAGCAGAATCTTAAGTTGGGATTAACGACTCCAAGAAGCCCCAAATCTCCACGAAGTGCCCATCAGGCTGGCTCCTACAAGCACTCCCACGGCGCATGGAGTCCTGGGGCGGAGGGCAGGCGGGGGGGAGGGCAGGCCGGGGGGAGGGCAGGCCAGGCAGGCCAGGCGGGCCGGGGCTTTGCGCTGGTCCGTGGGCCCGGAGTGGCTTTTCCTTGCCTTCTCCCGTGGCTTCCCGCCACTCGTTTGCCTGCTCTTCCCAGCCAGCTTTTCTCCCCACTTCAGGGGCGCTCGCGTGCGACGGGGGCTGCTCGCGCACTTACTCTCACTTACTTTCACTTTCAAAGAGAGCCGCAGCGGCCGCCTAGGCCGGGGCCTTCAGGTTGCCAAACGGCCCAACTACAGGACGCGGCGAAGGCCGGTGGGGGCGCGGCTGCGCTGACCAGAGCGCGTCCAGGGCCCCCGGCCGCCTGGCTTTGCTGGGCAGAGGCTGCGCGAGAACCAGACTTGGCGAACCGCACGGCGGGTTGCGGCGGGTGCGGGTGTGCGCCGGCTTTGTGCAGGGTGTGCGTGGCCGAGCGGCGCCGTGCACGCCCGCGAGCGCCCCGCGACATCTGCTCCGCAAACCGCGTTTGTGAGGCCCGTGGGAATCAAAGCGCAAGTCCCCGCGGGCGACACAGGATCGGCACAGGATCGCTTACCAGGAAATCCAGCGGATTAGGGGTGCGGCACACACGCCCCGTCAGCCCGGAGGCCCTTGATCCCCGCCAGGTCTTCCCAGGACAGGCCCCGCCCCCGCCCCCGGCCTTGGGCCCGGGGGGCCGGACTGGGGCTGCCAGAGCTGAAGGCAGGTCCCGGCAGGCCCAGGGGCCCCTGGCGGGCGGGGGCCGAGCAGGAGCCCTGTGTCCGGCCCGGGGGTCTGTGGAGACCCTCTTGCCCTCCCTCGCCCAGAGTCTTCCCTGC